AGTAGGGGGTCAGAGACGACAGGATATCGCTTTGCAGGCAAAAAACGAGCATGTTCGGGAGACTTGTCTTGCGAGGCTGCTAGGTCCTTAGTTGTGGTGTTCTCCTCGAGTTTGTTTGCTTTCTCCCTTCCATGGACATTCCAGGACTATAGGTCTGTAAGTGAACGTCACTACCAACAAGATACAATGGTTCGGTGTGTCAAGACATCCAACAAGTTCAGAGTAATTTTACTGCTGACTCACCAGTATGCGCCACGTCGACGAATTCTCTGTGGAAATGTAGCTCTGTCACACGGATCCCCATTCGAGAACAGGCCAGCAGAGTGAATCCATTCTCGCTTCTTAAATAGTTAACATTTTATAAGGCCATCAATTTATGGACTCTTAATGAGTAGTGGAGCAGACTCACCTCATGCATCTATATTCATTCATACCTTCATGTTGTTGCCATTTCTCAATCACCTGGATTCGATCCAATTCTTGGACTTCCTTTCTTTCATGGAACCAGTTTCACATGTAACACCTATATGAGGCTTCACTGATATATTGTACTGATATTTCTTCAGAAGAAAGTGTTGCGAGGGAATTCTGAAGAACAGTAGGTTCCCCTGAGGCTGCATATTCCGGAGTTGGTGGGCGTCTACTTCGTTCGAACCTGGCGTAGGATGGATTCCATGGGATATTTTCGTTTGAGAAAACTGGTATTCTGCCCTGTGCAGGACAAACACATGGCTACTCCAGAACCCCAACTTCTGCAATATGCTCTCTATGGTACAAGACCATCAACGTGAAGGTGAAATGCTCTACCACGCTTGCCCCTTCTCTGGGATCGAATGTACTTTGTGGAGAGCGTATCTACTCCACATGGATCAAATATTTCGTTCACCTATCCCCTCATAGGTAGCCCGTGTGTAGTAAGGAGTAAAAAGGCTAATCAAGTCATTGAAAAGTTCCATCCCTTATTGTGTAGCTTGTAGCTTCCCCTAGAACCTGAATTTTCGAAAAGATGAC